GGAGGTCATTAGGCTCGCAGGAGAGAAAACTAACCGGACAAATAGGAAAAAGAGGCCAGAACTCCCGAAATTAGCGGACCCCAACCCCTGAGGAATTGGCAGACCCCAAGCCCCTGAGGTTAGAGACCGAGCCTCTGCGTGCTTCGGTATGGGGATATTGGGGAGGGTCCCCGCCCCCTTTGGTTAAAGGAAGACCCATTTCCGATTTCTGCTCCCAGTGCCTTTGGGGCTGACCTTGATAGTCTGGGCATTGTTTGCGATGGAGCTGTTATGGGGCCGCCCGCAGAGAACGGAGATTGGAATGAAGGAGCATTTGCGGCCGAGGTCGTTGAGAGGGAAGAAAGGAGAGAGAGCGGAATGGGCTTTGGGACTGCTAAACTGTCATTAAATCAGAAGAGCGATTTTTTGTTTTCCCTTTTCTGTATTTTAGCAGTTTAGCAAAGAAAATATGTTCCCTTGAAAGGAAGCTGTTAACTTATATGTTAAAATGGCTTTTCTTGTATTCTTGTTACGGTACTTAAAGCATTGTATTTTTAACTTTTTGCTCGCCAATCTGTTTTGTTTTTGTTTTGTTTTAACAAGAACAAATTCACGGAGAGCAAGAACTAAATCTTAGAATCCTGTATCTCTCTTACTTCCTGGCATTCCTTCCCCCACCCTAGCAACTAATGCACATTTGTTGAGTGAATAAAGAATGGAGGAGGTAGGGCTCGATACCCATTTGCCTTTGGGAGTCCTAATTTGCTTCAAATTTGGCAGGTGACATTGTTGGAACTCCTGCTCTGCCCTTCAGTGGAATTCCTTGTGTTCCAAGTGTTTAGCTGCTTATGGTAACCATCTCCAATCTGTCCTAACATTTCTGGCAGCCACTTTCACTGTTAGAAAATATTTGAACTCTGTACAGAATAGAAACTGTGGAGGATACTTTTTTTTTTTTTTAAGTAGGCTCCATTCCGAACAGTGGGCTTGAACTCGTGACCCTGAGATCAAGAGTTGCATGCTCTACCTGCTAAACTAGATAGACACTCCTGCACAGAACACTTTAGAATTTAAAGCAGCCATCCATTAAATCTAAGCTCTGTGTAGACGTGGGGTTGATCCTAGATCATCTTCAGCTTAGGAATCTTGAGTCTTTGAAACTTTTAGGAGAAAAAGGCTTCTCAGTGAGGGGCGCCTGGGTGGCTCAGTCGGTTGATCGACCGACTTCGGCTCAGGTCATGATCTCGTGGTTCGTGAGTTCAAGCCCCGAGTCGGGCTCTGTGCTGACAGCTCAGAGCCTGGAGCCTGTTTCGGATTCTGTGTCTCCCTCTCTCTCTCTCTGACCCTCCCCTGTTCATGCTCTGTCTCTCTCTGCCTCAAAAATAAATAAACGTTAAAAAAAAAAAAAAAAAGCTTCTCAGTGAAATCCATCTCTAACTGCTGCCTTTCTTGTTTCTAGGAGCATGACAGTGCACAGCATTTTTTTAAATTAGTATTTTTATGTTAGATTAATGTTGTTAATCATAAACTCTGAATCTTAAGTGGTTTGAGTGAAACTTGTTAGTCCTCAAAGGATAGTGCAAGGAACCGCAAGGCCTGGCTGTTCTATATACCTTTGGTAAAAGAAATTTAGTCAAGGTTCCCCTCCTTTATCCTACCTCCACAGAACTGAACATGCTTTTCTTACTCATTTAAGCCTTTTCCTGACTTTGGGCATTGAATGGCAGGTATGGGCTTAGCACTTTCCTGTCACCCATATTTGGCTGCTTTGCTGCACTCTGACTCCTGACTGATGAGAGAGGCAGGCCTAACTGGTGAAGTCACATTCCTAAAGACCCATAGATAGTACTTTGCAAGTATGTGGTTCTCTTCTAGCAATGGAGTTCATTTTCACAGATGGAGAATAGAGATCAGGAGTTAAAATGATACTTAGAACTAGAAGCTTCTTTATCAGGATATGGTAGTCATCATTGTTGCCCATCAACTATTTTTGGCTTCCACCTCCTGGGCATGTGCTGCAATTATACTTGCTTGCCCCCTTGAAGTTGGGTATGGCCTTATGAGTTGTCTTTGATGAGTGAAGTGTGCTCAGAAATGGTAAAAGCTTCTGGTGTGTAATTTGCCACTATCTTTCCCTCTCTTATGGTGACTGTTAGTGCTTCAGCTGGTGGCTTGTCCATTAGTCTGGTACCCCAGAGCAAATCTCCAGGTAACCTATGTTTGACATGTAGAGCAAGTAGTAAACCTTCATTGTTTGAAGCCACTGAGATTTTGGAGTTATTACCAAGTAACTATCTTGACTTGTACTAAGGAACCAGTGGAAATAGCTGAAATATGCTTTCCTCTTTCAAAAATCTTTTTCTGCAGAGGGACCTGATCCTGCTCAGGACTTGTTTATTAGTTTAAATTTTACTGGCCTTTATACATATATCACCTGTGCTAGGTGTTGTGGATTCAGACAAGGCAGGCCCTGCCCTCAAAGAGCTCCTTTATAAGTGGAAAGAGAAATAACAAAAATCATAATAAAGAGTGTTGAGAAGAAAAAGGGCTGAAGGAACAATAATGTTGGAAGGCATAGTCGGTTTTGAGCTCAACTGTTGGAAGGATGAGGTTGCCATTACCTATACTGGAAACACTGGAATTAGAGCAGGTTTGTAGAGAAAATAGAGTTCAGTTTTGGCTTTATTCATTTTGAGTTGCCTAATAGATATCCAGATGGAGATATTAGATCTGGAGTTGAGAAGAAAGACTGGGACTGGAACTACCATGCTGATGACTCCCACATTTTTATTTTATCTATGAGACTGGGTAGAGATCCAGGGAGTAAATGTAGATAGAGAAGAAGACCAGCATCCAAGCCCTGGGATATTCCATATAGGAAAGACAGTGTAGAAATGGTTTCCAGTTTGGAAACCATAATGGACAGTGGCTTCTTACTTTTGAGATAGGAAAAAAATACAGGACAATCATGGAAAGTCAAATGACGGATACTGTTGATGAGCTGGTGAGACTAAGAATAGACCATTAGATTTGTTAACATGGAGGTCATCTGTGACCTTGACAAGAACAGGTTTGGTGCAGCGGGTTTAAGAAAAAATGGGAGAAGAACTGAAGACGGTGAGTATAGATAGCCATAATGATGTTGTTTCAAGGATTGAAGAGCAGAGCCCTATGGGTATGGCTATGACAGACAGCAAAATAATAGGGTGTGGCTGTAAGGGCAGAGTAATAGGGCTGTGGTTGGAAGCGTGGAAGTGTTAGAGTTCTTTTTGGTTTTAGGTGGGCAGACATTATAATCCATCTGAAAATGTTTGAAGTTGATTAGTAATGATGGAGTACAGAGAGGCAAATTGGTGATTAAAGAGAGAGAAGGGAAAATTGCAGGGGTGAAGTCCTTGAGCAGGTGAGAGGGAATAGGGTCGAGGACATAAATGGATACATTGGTCTCAGACTAGATAGGTACATGGACAGTTCATCTTTGGTGAGTGTATGGACCCAAATGCTGGTGGGTTGGTGATCGAGAAGCTAAAAATCTTTAGGGAATGTAGAGAACTGAATGACCCAGAGGTTTGTAGGTATTTATAACAAGAAGGGATAGTGGAAGAAGGGATAACAGGTAGTTATTGTTGGATGACATGGAGAAATCAGACAAAATAAAATAAAGCAAAAAGCTTAATTAATTTTCTCAAAACCAGAAGACATGAGTTTCCAGATTAAAAGGACTCACCATTAGTCCAGCACAACTAATTTAAAAATATCCATGCCAAGGTAGAACATCATGAAATTTTTGAGCACTATAAAGACAAATCACATAGATAGGGTCAGGAATCATAGTATTGTAGCAAAATTGGAAACTAGAAGCTAATGGAGAAGCAGTGCCTTCTGAAGGAAAATGGATTCCTACCTAGAATTCTGTATCCAGGCATACTCTCAGGCAGATGAAGGATGAAGACATTTCACACATGCAAATTCTCAAAGTTTGACCTTCCATGCACCCTTTATTAAGAAGCCGCTGGCAGGGGGCACCTGGGTGGCTCAGTCAGTTGAGCATCCAAGTCGATTTCAGCTCGGGTCATGATCCCACAGTCATGGGATTGAGCCCCGCGTTGAGTTCTGCGCTGAGCGTGGAGCCTACTGGGGATTCTCTCCCCCTCATTCTGCCCCTCTCCACCCTTCATGCACACGTAGGTGCGCTGTCTCTCTCTTAAAACAAACAAACAAACAAACAAAAAAACACTGGAAGATGTGCTCTAGCAAAGCAGTCTGATTAAGGGGTTCCTGTGCTGGGGATCCTCTATAAGGGACTCATAGGAAGGGCTTTCTTTGTTACCTCTGGAAATTACCAAAGGGCTGGGACCATTTTGTATTACCATTTCCCACATTGCTTACCCTGGTACTTAGATCAGTGTCTGGCACATAGACAGCATGCACTAAATATGAATTGCTATTGTAAGCTATTATGAGATATTGCTTGCATGAATTATTTATTGAATGAATAGAGAGTAATTACAGTTGAAGCTGTGGGCTATGTTAAATTTCAGGAGTGTTCAGAGAATGAAGAATCATGTGAGCTAGATGGTGAGAAGTGGTTCACCATAGTGATGCTGTATACAGTGCACTTTAGTAAAGTCTCACAGAAACAAGTTACTTCTTCAGGTGATACATATTGGCCAGTGGCCAATACACATGGTACTCTTGTAGTTTACAGATCTACAGAAGTAATAATTACTATTGTACACATAATCCTGCCTTAAGGAAACTCAGAATGCAAAGCAAGGCTATGACTTTGTATATCTGAAAATGCAAAGCTTTACCTCCTATACTTAGATGCTGGCCAGGGAGGCTTGGTGTGGTGTCTATAGAAGCAAAGATGGTTGTCTTATTTCTGGCCCAGAGGTAGAGGTCTGAGTATTTGTCTTTTTACTTGTGTCTAGGACGACTGTGTACTGAGGACTCTTATTTAGTGAATACTGTGGCATTAATAGTGCACAGTATCTTGATAATGTTTCCTAACTCTTGGGCTTGTCTATGATGTTCTAATTTTTAGAGAAGGGAGTGAATGAGATGCAGATGCCCTCCAGAGTTACACAGCTTAAATTATTGTTGTTTTTGCCCTGAAAGTTTAAAGAAAAAGAACAGAAAAAGCAGAGTCTGCAGCTGGGGTGTTTAAAAATTTTATATGTCGGTGTCTCAGTCGGTTAGGCATCCGACTCTTGATTTTGGCTCAGGTCATGTTTTCACGGTTTATGGGATCTAGGCCTGAGTTGGGCTCTGTGCTGGGAATGTGGAGCCTGCTTGGGATTCTGTCTCTCTCTCTGCCCCTCCCCTGCTCATTCTCTCTCTCTCTCTCTCTCTCTCTCTCTCTCTCTGTTCCTCCCCACCCCGGAAATAAATAAATATTGGGTGGCTCAGTTGGTTAAGT